GCTGATTTGCTCTTGTGGAAAAAGGAATTCAGACGGAATATCCGTTATTCTGCCCATATAAATCATCCATTTTTATATAATTCGTTTGCCTTACCCTAACTGGAAGACTATAGTTTCATATTAAACCTAAACTTATATTACTTTCACGACCAACTGGTGTTATGCAAGTTTAAGGTTGTCATCTTCAAGTTAGCTAGCTAAAATTTTTCATCCTGAATAAATTTCTTGATTTACTGTGTTATAAACCACACTTATTGTATGTATCATGTTCTGACCAAATTGCAACTCTACGCATCATCATCGAACAAAGCATGGAATGGCAATCAAACCTCCACCTCAACTTTATAGACTTTGAGAAGGCCTTAGACAGCGTGGACCGCGAAGTAATTTGGAAACTACTCAAGTACTACGGCGTACCCGAAATATTCATCAACCTTATTCAACATCTGTACGACAACGGCACATGTCAAGTGATCCACAACGGAAAACTCAGGAAGGCGTTTGGAGTAAACACGGGAGTCAGACAAGGGTGCTTATTATCACCAATGATATTCCTAATTGTGGTGGACTGGAGGAGATCGTGTGAAGAAGAGTTGAGACAGTATGGACTAACATGGATGCAAGTGAAAAGTACAGCAGAAAACAGAAGCAAGTGGATGTGTGCAGTTGAAGCCCTATGTTCCACTAGGAACCCAAGGGAACAATAATAATAATAATAATTGTTTGGGGGCTGAATACTCTACGAAGTCATCCATTGTGGCTTAGATGGGGCAGGATTCTAACGTGGAACCATTGACAGAAGGCCAAGTGGTTAAACCAATGAGCCACATCACTATTGGTGAAATGTTATTCATTATCTAAAGTACATTAATCAAGATGAGCTCGTTTCTTTAGGTCTGGATAGTATGGGAAGGTAAAACATCCCACCTTTCTGTAAGAGTACAATTCGGGCTCTGTGATTGAGTGCTATCCTATATTAGATAACTTTATTTGGAATTATTAACTGGATGAAGTTTCGAGCATAAATTATTGCTACTCATAAACATATCAATTTAGTCACACGGTTTCACAATCTGTCTTATATATATATATATATCCTCTCTTTCTGTCTCTCCAGCTTCCCTATGTTACCACTTTCTATATCTCCGGTATAGACGTTGAATCATCCCGATTGCACGTTTGCGGTGTTGAATCGATAAACAAAGCTTCAGTGATTAACCTCTCTCTCTCTCTCTCCACCTAACTATATTACTTTTTAACACCCTCTCACCCTGTGTCACCCTATATTGTGATTATATGCAAGTGAATGCAATGCAATGGCTGAGCTTTTTCTAGGTTATTTAACTTATCAGGGTCAGTTATTTTAGCTCTAGCTAAATTCCTATGTCCCGATAATTTGATCAACCCAATTAAAAAATGTAATGTATTATATAAAAATAATATAATTGACCTCACATTCAGTTACACAGGTCAAACTAGTAGGTTGGGGTCAATTACATGATTAGAACATAAGAATTTAGCTAGAGCTAGAATAACTGACCCTGATAAGTTAAATAACCTAGAAAAAGCTCAGCCATTGCATTGCATTCACTTGCATATAATCACAATATAGGGTGACACAGGGTGAGAGGGTGTTAAAAAGTAATATAGTTAGGTGGAGAGAGAGAGAGAGAGGTTAATCACTGAAGCTTTGTTTATCGATTCAACACCGCAAACGTGCAATCGGGATGATTCAACGTCTATACCGGAGATATAGAAAGTGGTAACATAGGGAAGCTGGAGAGACAGAAAGAGAGGATATATATATATATATATAAGACAGATTGTGAAACCGTGTGACTAAATTGATATGTTTATGAGTAGCAATAATTTATGCTCGATACTTCATCCAGTTAATGATTCCATATCACTGTGTTTTATACCAAATAAACTTGTCTAATACAGAATCCCATTTTTCTATCGAAATCTGGTCACGTGCACACTCTGGAAAATTGTTTCTACAAGCAGCTTCAGTATAGACTGAAAGGTAAAATAAGTGTCTTTGATTTCGAATCCTACACGCAGTGCTACTATTCCTTTATCTTCAAACCATGTAGAAAAATTCTATAGATGAATGAATTAGTCTAAATCAAGTGCCTATACCGTATTGTGGTTTATTCAGTGTGCGGCGAAAGCACTATATATTGAAACTAATGCATCTCAGGATAAATCACTTGTAGAGTTGTCGAAGTAATCGTTCTTTGGTTTGATCGTCACTGTACACATTGCCCAGTGAAAGTGGATCATTCAGACAATTAGTGATATGTGTTTCTTTGCGAATATAGATTTCCCTGTAACATATCCAGTCTTGTGACCACATTTAAAGTGTGCTTAGAAAACTGATTGGTTTATACTGTAGGCATATATGTATACACAAAAGTGTGTATTTTCTTTGTATAGGAAAATGAAAACAAAGAATGTAAGACTGAATTCAGTTAACAAGTTTTACGTCTGCACTAACCATCCTTCATTTATATTTTTAGGTAAATGAAGGGTATTTTTCATCCGATCAGTTGACGTTTTTTAGATAGTATGCACTTTTAAGTTGTAATAGTAAATTTAAAATAGTTTTCGAAATGCGCAATTTAGGCAGTAGTATAGAGACCAGATTATCCCTCTTTAATTCAATTTTAGATTTTCCCGTCGATTGATTGGACCGAAGTGCTCGGTCTCGGGTTGACCTGTCGGCTCCTTGTGCAGATACTTCGACGAGGTCTGGCCATGTAACTTGAAGTCAATTGGTGGAAGGGTGATTATCAGTGGAATCCAAGATGCGCATTTCGTTCTATTTAGGGACTCGACGGGGAAATCTAAAAATCGCACAGAAGGTGGCTCTCGTGGCCCAAGTGTTCTAGTGGATAACGCCTTGGAGTTTAAAACCATGAGCACTGAGTTCGAGCCTCGTTGGGAACACCATCCCTCAATGGGGAATGCAGGTACATCCAGATAACGAGTCTCGAATAGGACGAAACGGGCATCCTGGATTCCACTGTTAGTCACCATCCACCAAATGACTTCAGGGTTATTCGTCTGGACATATGTATATCAAATGAATCACTCAGACTTTCAAAATGAACTCGAAAGAAATGTATCATTTTGGAATAAGGCTAGTAAATATGGAATCCCACGATACACTATTAATTGTATCTTGGTGGTTGCCTCGGTCAAAATTCAAGCCTATCTAAGATCTTCATAGCATATCTGTGTTCACATCTGTTATTAATTAATGTGCTTTGCAATGCTACACTCGACATATGTTTGAACAGAGTGAATTTAATAGTTTGCATTGTTTTTTGTCTATTTATTGTTACGCAGGCATTCATCAGTGATTGTGAGTTCTTCACCTCTGTTGCAAAGTATACACTAACTTTTTTTCACAATTTGCTTGTAAAATTTATGTACTGCTGAAGAGTCACAAACTAGGACGAAACAGCTGTCCAGTACTCCCAGGTCTTCCAATGGTTCTCTAACTAATGTCAGCTCATGGTGAAATTCCCGTAACCAATCAAATCCCCACAAACCAACACTTGAATATGTAGATTTTTTTTCACATGTCTCAAACAAAATTTCACCTATCAGCATTTCAAATTTATTTATCATTCATCCCTTCATCTAGTAAACACACAGTAATCGGGGAATAATTTAACTTTCCAAATTTTTGTTTGTGCTTTACTCAAAAGTAATGGTTCAGGCATATATCTGTCTTCCTCTCTGACACTGGTCACTCTATGTGTAATGAACACGTTTGAAATGAACTTATTAAGTTGATGTCTATATAGCAAACACTTATTATTGAATTAAATTTCATCTATATGCCTTGGTTTACCTATCTTTTATAGTATCTTCAGCCTGAAATATGTAGATGTGATTCCATGAATAATTCGGATAAGAATGTTTAAAATAATGTACAATTATAAATGTGTTAACAATAAGCAACATTCACTGATAGTAGGTGAGTTCAGTAACTTGAGTGTTCATTAAAATGTAGGTGGAACTATCATCATCATCATCACTAAGATAAAAAGGCAACAGTAGAACGTACCTCTTCTGTTAGATTTCCAAACTTTCGATACCCCACAAAGGCTCTACTAAAATAACAGAACTATAAAATGAATAATGTCTTCCAAGAACGAAGTTATACTCAGTATCAATTGTAGCGTAACTTTGTATATATCTTACGCCCAACCAACTACCTTTGTAGCTAACTGACTAACTAACTAAGAACCAACAGTTTTGCCAGTGAACAAACAGTTTAACGTGTGTACATTCTAGTGAATATCACTTTATTTTGTTAGATAAAATTAAAGAGTTAGGGAAAAAAAAATAATGCCATGTTTTCAGTGTTTACGAAATCAGCCTTGTTTTTTGTTTATTTTGTCGTTTTCATGTCTATGGGATACAATCTTCCCACACAAAAATGAGCCAATAAAATTTGACTATCCTTCACTATCATCTAATTAATTTTATTATTGTTTATATACACTACAAAACCATACAATAGGCCTAAATGCACAACAGTGATTTAGAATCCACAAATCAAAAGCAACTTTTACCTGTCCAAGTGGAAAGATTTCTCATCCAAGGGCATATATTCACCCGTTTGCATACTGTGTAGGTTGTGTTTGTGTTGGTATCTAAACTTAAAACTGTGTATTTGTAAGTGAAAGCCTACACAAAAATAATGTGCAGATGACCTTGGTGTGTAGGATTTAGTCCGATAAATAACTTTTTTTTGTTCTTTAAACTAAGTACAGATTTAAAAATAGTCCCCGTTTAAAGTATGTCACACATAGTTTTGATTTGATTGGTCAGAGAAATGATCGAATTGGGATGTAAGCATAACAGATTACTAGCAGATAAAAAGAAATAAGACTGTGTGCAAGACTGATAAACACTTCCTTTCACTGAATATCAGAGGAAATACATTTGCTTTTGCATTTCTGAGTGAATTCCCGGAGGTTATGGCCAATCAACCCTTAGCCAGTGGACTTAGTGCTCAAGTCAAAAAGAAGGTAGCAATTTATTTCAAAATGTATTTGTATAAATGTATATTTGTTTTTTTCGGCACATCTGAAATTATTATTTTTTAAAGTTGACTAAAATGTTCCAGAAACTTTTTAAACCAGAGTATTTGCTCACCAAAGTTTCATTATAATAGGTGATTTGTGCATAATATACCAGGAAATACTTGTGAGTGCTTGTGTTTTAGACGAAAGAATAGATTTCTTTCTGCTGTATGAGTTTGACTGCAATCTGAATAGGTTTAATGTCTCTCTCCTCTCATTATTATTATTAGGCAGGCCAATGGAGTACATAAATGAACAAATCCCCAGTAATTTTTAGCTTTCTTATAAATGTCTAAGTGACACTAAATTAGGAAAAACAAAATTCTGAAACAAGCGGTGGATATAAAACACGGGATAGGTTATTTGCAGATATAAGATTTGATAGTGTGGAAAATTCCCATATTATGAATTAAAAGTGAATCTGAACGAAGAATATTCTTTCCAATAATTTCTCTTCAGGTTCTTACAATTTTTTTTTCCTTTGCTTATTATTACAAATATCATTATCACAATTATTATTATCATTCGTCATAATTTATGCCCTTCATGCAAACATTCTCTAAATACTATCGAATTTTTCGTTTATACTATCCGAACTAATTATTAGTGATATTATCTCTTTCCTCAATATATGCCTCTACCTGTTTCATTTCACATATTCGTTATCTCATTATGAACCTCCCACTGCAGTCTTACTATCTCCTGTTTAACACAGACCACTTTGTACTAGCCACTCACCTGACACCTTTTATAACCTTGAATTGACTTGTCAATTTTCCTACCCCACACTCTACAAATCTATTATGATTAATCACCATTGTCTCCCGTTTTACAATATTTTGTAATCGAATTCAGCCTAGCACGTTTGTCACACAAATACGACTATTTATTTTGACACCCCATAACTAATCTGTTATTCTTCGTTAAAAAATGTATCTGCCGCATAACTGGCCTTTATTATAACGACAACAAATATTATATTTTATAATTGTAAGAACCTGAAGAGAAATTATTGAAAAGAATATTCTTCGTTCAGATTCACTTTTATGTGCAGATATGTAACTTGGTTTTCTCATCCCTATTCAAGCATTCTAGATGCATTTTTGCCTAGTTTGCCAAAATCAAAAGTGATCAAAGGCGGTAAAACAGAATGTGTTATCAGATTAATAGGTGGAGGTGAAAATGGAAGAGTGTTTCATATGTGTTGACACAAATGAGTAAAAACTTGGTAAGTGTAGTTATTAGATAAGTTAAAGCTGATCGTTTCTTCAAGCAACGAACATAGGAACGGACGAATTCAATCTTAACCAAAATGAAAACTTTCTCCAATTAGTATAGAAATTTCACTAACCAAATCTATCTGTTGTCATATCTATGAGTTAAGAAACAACAACATCTACTGCATTCGGTTGTACTAACAGTCGTGTTACTTGGTCACTGATACTTTCATTGCTATAAAAAATTGTGTTGTCTTGTATGCGAAATCCGGTATCGTTGCTTTTATTGAGACCGACTGCACTTTTCGGTACACTGTTTGCATTATAAAAAGTTTTCCTTAAAATGACGTAGATTTCACTATTTGGTCACCTAATTTTGAGTAAGTTTCACAAGATTTTTCCAGAGAATTTCTTAGTAGGTATTTATTTCGAAAAAACAGCTGTGCAATGCTGATAAATGAATGATAATGTGACTAGGATTATGTCAACTGATACAATTTGTAGACAGTGATGGGAGAAGCAGTTTTTTTCTTAAAACTAATAAATACATTGAACAGACTTTTTTATGGATAAATAAGAAATCGCTACTTTTGAATGTGAGGGAAGCAAGGCTTACTTGGCACTGGTTCACTCAGCTGCAAGCACTATTTAGCTGTTGCACCATATATTAGCAGGACAGTAAACCCACTTGGAAACCTGATTTTTTCACTGCTGTAAATATTGTTTTCTAGCTTGCCTTATTCTTACTTTACTCATGTCTTAGTGAAGTAATCTTGGTGATATGGTCCTACCCAAAAGATAACTTTTTTCCTGGTATTTTGTCAAAATCCAACCTTCATAAAATATATCTTCTGTTTTTGGAAGGGTAAAAACAACAAGCCCTCTTTCTCTGAATGATAATATGTGTTCATATATTTTTTTCACAAATTTCAGTAGTAACTTATAAACTTAATAACAGAGTCGTACTATTCACCTGCAATTCCCTCAGTATTGAAAGGATCATGTGTTTTTAAAATAAAGCTTAATACCAAAGTCTCTTGAGGATATTGCATAAATAAAATTGCTTCACTGGTTTTAATTATTTTCAGCTGTGGTATAAGTTCACCTTTCTGGACTTTTTAAGAGCTCACAGTAGGAAAACATCTGAGTTAGCAAAATGAAAACAAGAGTGCCGGTGAATTCGGAAGACTCTGGTATGAAAGTAGTGGACTGTTTAGCTGACAGATTTACAGGTTATCAGTTTTTGAATATTACCTGGTCTTGCCCACAGTGGTTTGCACACTTCTGCATCATATCATACCAAAACAATTAATGATATCACAGATCATTTTAGTGCTCTGATCTTTTGAAGTTTTTGTAGTAACTTTACACTAAATCATAACACATTTGATGACCTAAAAGTAAGCTAAATGTAACACTCTTGTATGAATAGTGGTCTTGTTTTTAGTTTCGTATTCGGTGAACGTTACCCTATGATTGGTTTACAGTAATGTAATAAATTTTTAGATGATGATGATGAAGGTATATCGTGAGACGAAAGGAGTTTGACATCACTGGAAGTTGACTACATAAAAACACAGTGGCCACGTAACTTCACTGGCTGACCTCTTCTGAGACAACTGACCATGTATAGGGTGTCCCAGAAACTATGATGATTGATTTTCTTTCATCAGAAGACAGTGTCTTAATTGCACTTAATATCAATTTTGTACAGAATAACATTTAATGGTTAGACAATTATTTCCGTTATTTGTACAAATGAAATTGGTTTACCTCAGGTTAAGTGATTGTAGAGAAAATTCCTTTGCAGTATATGTTAACCTAATAGTTAAATGTGTTTCATGTTCATGTCATCAGCACACTATTGTCCTGCAACATAAAATTACCAATACCATGGCTTATACAAACAGGAGATGTATGTTAGTTGATTAAAAGTCTCTAAGTAAATCTTGTGTTTTCTGAGGTGAATTCTGACAGTTCGTGATTCCCTGCATCTTTTGCTTGTCCACATTCGAATAAACAAGTTTCTGGAATCTGAAGTGTTTTCTAAACTGATTGTTTGGTTTTAATTCCATTTTAACTGATTGCTTGTGGGCTGATCCCAGGGTGAAGAGATGATAATCGAAGATTAATAGCGTTCACCTGGGCTGGAAACCATTCAAATAATAATAAAGATAACAGTTTATGAAGTTGATAAAATAAGAAGTTTATTCAAGTTTTTTTTAATTTTTATTCCTGAAGAAGGAAACAACGTCTTTTTTTAATACTGCCTCAGCTCTGTTGGACTTGTTAGTGAGAAAATCGAGGAAGGCTGATCCGGGCTTTACCAACTTCCATCAACTAGTGAAGCATGAAATTTATCAAATGGCGTAAACACTGAATAGTAGATGAGTCTGTCCTGGTCAGTAGTTGTGGGGCACGGAACTAGAAATCAGCAGAAACGAGAAATATACGGACTTAAGTGCAGTTCTATCATTGCTTACATTCAGTGGTGCTTTGTGTTAGGTAGTTTGGAAAATGAATATAAAATTTTAGCCAAGTCAGTCGACGAGATATGGAATTCCCACTAAAAGTTCTAAGATTGATTTTAAAAGACTGCTGGAATTTGTTACACCGATACATGAATTATGTGATCGTTAACCTGAACCATGTAGAGATGTGTAGATTCGCGTTTGGTGACATCGAGATGTTACACCTATATAGCTAGTGATTTCCGGAAGTATGGTTGGAAATTGTTCACAGTAGCTCAGAAATACTTTTGATTGGACACTAGTAACGAGTGCCAACTAGCACGAAACCTAGGTCCAAGGCTTCCTGCCGATTACCTCCAACCATCTAATAGCTCAAAAGTATTCGTTCTTTAGCGTCTTTGGAATTATAGACGTTTTCATTCATCTCTGTTTTGTTATTCTCCCTTAAAACACTCCATTTTATTCACTACAATATCCACTCTATATCTGCCTTTCGCTGTCTATTGTTATTTATTACTATTTCAAAGTGTGGTATTTTGAGATAATTTATTTCTTTGCGAAGCTCACTCAGTCATTGTCTCCGCTTTTAGCTTTTATTTAGTGGTATTCATTTATGCCAGTTGACATTTAATCACTTGTCCGCTTGTATAAGACTTCATAATAATCATCATTCTTTTTTAAAAATACATCGATTCACAGTTGCTAGTTCTTCGATCGGTATTTTCCTCTCTTCTTACGTTCGACTAAGTGTCATTGGCAGTTGAATGATGATTTTATTTATAAGTGAATATCATATAGTCCATGTGAATATCAATCCAATTTCTACTGAAGTCAATACTATTATTTTCATTTGCTAAAACCGCATCACATTTTAGCTCGAAGGCAAACGAGACAGAGATCAGGAGCAGAGTGTACTTGACTGGATAGAAGCTGTGCTTGGCGTCAAAGTTGATCGTTCTAAACCATATGAAGAAGTACTGAAAGATGGAGTGCTACTTTGCAAGTAAGTAGTTTTTAAAATTTGTAAATTAAATACATACGATAAGTAAGCTTGTTTTTAGAATGTGTAAGAATCTTTGCTGTGGATTCGAATGTTTAGAATGAAAATGCAATATATAACCTGACCATGAAGTATACTGTTGTCCTGTGTTACCTTAAATGACTTTAGTATCTCAGTCATTAAGTGGAATACTTCTTTTTTAGGTGTCTTATTTATCATATCCATTAAGAAGGTGTATCTACAGCTGCAAAGAGAATCTTGAAGTCATTCCAGCAAAGTTACAGCTACAAAAATTGAAGCTGAATTACCTTTGATTTCAGGTCGATTACACTATATGTTTTATTAAAAATGTTTGATTACGAATGCCAATAGGTATCATAGAATATTTCAGGATCTCCTGTCTGTTGATATCGTTCATAGGAAACTTATTTCCTGATAGATTTACCAATTGTTCAGTTATTAGATAAAATCTTTAGCTGGAAAGGGAAATTTTAATGTGTAAATATATTCCCAGCCATAATGGTAAATCATGTTTGTAACATAATCCCAAGGAAAAGAGAAAGACAAATTATGCAGACTCAGCAACAAGCTTGCTCATTGTGTGAAATAATTTTCGAAAAGTAAGGCGTCTTTAATGTGTACATTAATCTTTTGAGAAACCGGAGTTATTCATGCAGACATATCTGCTTCATTCACTGTATCTAACACATATTTACTTTCGTTCTGTTTGTTTTATTTTCTGATGATTTCAGTCAAACTCTTTTTTCAGCTTCATTCACAAAATATTATTTAATTCTGTTGTTATACCGACCCGTATACATTCAATTTTTTGAGAATTATTTCGCCTATTATGAAAATTTATTTCCAAGTCCGTATAATTTTGAGAGAAAAGAACAACAAGCTCAGCAAAGATATGTATTCAACGATTTCATCCTCAAAGACTGTACAATAGCACTTTCATGCATAAGTCTACAAAACTGCAATTATTTAACGTATTGACCCGAGGGTGATAATAATTTTCAAATTGATATGAAGGTCTAAAGGTGCGAATATGGATTACAAGGGGCATAGAAATAAAATTACAGAGAAGCAGAAGATAGCTGCGTAATATGTAACATAGTTTTCAATGAAGGCAGGTGTGAACGAAATGGACATAAAAACAAATAAAACATTATTATTATACCCTTGGGTTACAAGTGGAACATAGGGCTTCAAAAACACACTCAACTTTCTTCTTTTTTCTGCTGCCCTCTTCAGATAGATCCAGGATTGCCCATAATATATCATCTCCTCCTCACACGATCTCCTCCATGTCACTTCAGACCGACGAACCCTCATCGATTCCTAGTGGGATTCCACCCGAGCAATGACCTGACGCGAACTGTCATTCGACAGCCTACTGAATGTATGCCTTGCCCGTATCCCTTTTCTCCCCAATATTTGTTCCGTAATCAGCTCCTGGTTGGTCTGTTGCCAGAGTTTCTTGTTCCTAATTATTTTCGCCAGCCATTTGATCCTCAGCACGCAGCTGATGATGAAAAATTGCCGTAGCCGGTTGGAAGTCCTTTTCGTTACACGCAAGGCAAGTTTCTGATCCGTAGAGAAGAACTGACTGACTTGACATTTGTGTTGAAAATCCGAATCTTATGGTTTATGCCGAGAAGTGCAGAAGATTCCTAAAACAATTTCAGATTGATGAAGGCGTATCTTACCTTTCCGAATCTGGCTGGCTGGCTTTCACATCTTCATCCGTTCCCCTGGCTGTGGTTGAAACAATGCTTCCTAGATAAGTAAAAGGAGTAACCTCTGTCAAATTTCTCCAGTTGATAGCGGTTGGTGCTGTGGCTGTTGCTGTTGGTGCGTGTTTATCTTCATCACCTCCATCTTATCAATGTTCATCTGCAGTCCTGTTTTCTGATTGCCTCTGCTACCAGTTTGTTGGTCTACACCTGAGAGTCTTCGAGTTTGTGCAACATTAGACGTATATCATCCACACGCGAAATCCACGCCTTCTAGAGACTTTTTATCGGTGGTCCAGTCTAATCCTGTCTTATCACTCCCCGTGCACAGTCTGAAGCATCATCCAGTCCACCACAAGGAAGAATATCACTGTCGATTATAGGAAGCCTTGTTTCAATGCTGAATTCACTTCGAACGCCTCTCTGAGTTTCCCGTTGTGTATCACCTGACACGTGGGATTGTCATATAGCCACCTGTTGGATGAGGTTGATGAGGATTTGGGAACTGCCTGCCGTAGTGTAGAAGTAGTGTCCAAATTACTTCTCGGTAAACGCTGTCTGTCGAAGGTCTTATCGAAGTCAATGAATTCGAGATGGGAAGAGGTTTGACTGCCATTCTATGCTTTATTCTGTGATGACTATGTGTGGAGTTGCAATTCCATGAGCACATGATTCGTCTTTCCTGATTCCAGCTGGTTCCGGGATGGGGGACTTCCTCATCCGGTGAATCATTTATTCTCTCGAGATGATGCGACTTCGTTTTTTGCTTGTGGTGGACAACTGCATTATTCCACGCCAGTTCCTGCAGAGACGTAAGTCGCCCTTCTTTGGCGGATTGACGAGGTAGCTAGCCTTTCTTCCAGTCAGTAGGTACCTTCCCTTCTTTCCAAACGTTTTGCAGTAACGGCGTGAGTACATCTGAGGCCGCCTCTGGGTTCAATATCAGTGCTGCCTATCCGGACCTCGGTAGCTTGATCGCGTTCAAGATTTCTGCTTTCGTTGGAGGAGTGGTGTCCACTGTCAGTTACGTCTGTGTTGTTGGTGCTATTTCTGGGCGAGCCAAAGGTGATGGTCGATTCAAGATTTCTTTAAAGTGATCAGCCCATTGTTTTATCGGTTTCTCCTCTTTCGTAATCAGTGTTCCGTTGAACATCTTTTATTGGTTTCATCATCAGGGTTGATCTCTTCCCAGATAGAGACACGGTTATCTGGTATAACGTTCCGAGGTCTCTTCTACTTGAGGCCCTCCTGTTCTGCCTCAGTCGACAGCCAGTGTGTCGTAGAATTGTCTTTTGTCTTTCCTAGCACTCTTCTTCTCTTCTCTCCTGTATTCAGTGCAGTGTACACTGAACTCAGCTTCTCCTTCTCCTGTTGTCCATCCTTGCGTTGAGTCATCTTCTCTTTCACCATCCTCATAATCTCTCTTCTATTAGCCTTTCAGGTAGGTATCTGTTGAGAGCCATTCCTTGTCTTGTCTTTTCTTTCTTCCCAGATCAGTGGTACACATATCCTCTGACATAGCTTTCAGTGAGTTCCAATGTTCTTCCACATACACAGGCTTCCTCAGTGATGCCACGTAGTGTCTCCTACTTTGCTCTCATCTGATCCGATCTGCAGTGAAGGCACCCCTTTCAGTTCTGTCTTTCAGGTCCTGAATATTAAACTTGAATTACAGTGACCTGTCTCCAGTTGTTTTCAGGGATTTCACCTTCACCTTGAAGGTTGCTTGCACTAGATGATCACCTGAGCCCACATCTGCTCCCCATCCAGATTTCACATCCGGAAGGCTGTGTCTCCACTTCCCTGAGCAGCATTGAGATGAAATCTATCTGGTTTGTGATGTGTCCGTGGGGCGAAATCCATATCGCTGATCTCGTGTCTATCCTTGTGCTTGTACGCACACACGCCCCCAATCACCAAATCATTGAAAGCGCAGAAGTCTGTGACTAGTTCTCCGTTCTCATTTGTTTCACCGAGTGACATTCTCTCGACGCATGATGAGTTCTCCTCCTGGATTGTCTGCTCCCAGTTCACCTGGCATTCATATCGCTCATGAGGATTTTGATGTCACCATCTGTGGTGTTGTCCATTACTGTATGTTGCTGTCTGTGAAACTCTTCCTTCTCGTATGGTTCCACGTTGTTTGTAGCACTGTGTGTAGCATTGCATGATAACTGTAACCTTCCTTCCTTCCTCTTGAGTTGTATCTTCCTGTCATGATCCTGCACGAGGTGAGTGGTTCAACTGCATTAGGGATTTGACTCCCTCTGGAGACAGCATGACAGCCACTCACTGCCTCACTGTGTTCGTGGATGTCGTCTGTGTGGCCAGATCGGAGTAGATTACTGACTCTCCAGTTGACAGTTTGGATAATCCACATCCATTCCATCTGCTCTCGCAGATACTCAGCACTTCCAGGCCATATCTTCGCATTTCGTTGGCTAGTTGGACAGGCTTTCCAGCCAGTCTCGTACGTTGTACGGACATACCACGTCCCCGTTCTTCTTCTTGCTTTCATGAGAGAAGACACATTGGCTGGCTAACTGGCTTCTCGAAGTCTTTCACCAGCCGGCCACGTCCTTTTCCCTCTCCTATTCTAGTGAAGAATGAGATTTTAGAAAATATTTTTTGTATTTTTAATGTATTTTTCGTGTGTTGAATTTTTTGTAGCAGTTTGATCGGGTATGCTCACTAGTGCCACGCTCCCTTATACCAGGGATTTGCAGACACACTACTCTTGGTAGAATTTCGTTCATTTTGTAAGTAACTCAAAATATAGAGTCATTTGAGATGCTGTGACATTTCTGACTGAACCAGTGTCGCCTTTTTGCAGACATGGTGGATAGTGTTCTCTAACACGTCTTGAAAGGACGCTCATGAAATTACCTATGTACCTTGCTCTGCAGTAACAGGTTAATTGATATGTACATATTGGAGTAGCCATATACGGGGGATGTCCTGCACACTGCCTAGAAGCAGTGGGCGACTAAATGATATCAGTGTTGCTTTAGGAGTTGTCTTCCTTAGAGAATGAGAGATTCTCCCTTAAGTTTGCGTTGAAGCCCTGGATCATATTCACTATTTTCTTTGGCACAGTACTGTATTCTTCTCTCTGGTTTCATGTTCTGCTCCACAAACCGTACTGATTATCCATTTTGAGCCAGGATGTTTATGAATAGTAAGAACCCTCTATTTAAGCAGTCACTGCTGCTTATTCTTCAGATATGTTAAATTAGGTAATAATAGTAACTAGGCAAACTCATATTATAAAAAATGTGATTGCTCTGCCATTGAGGCTGAAATTGCCGGAAAGGTATCTCGGTTGAGCTTCTCGTCTTTTCCTTGCATTACTTTGATGGGTATCTTCCACGATTTGTATAAATTTGGTCCATGTGCTCTTTGTGGTTATTTTTCACCTCTTATTGTTCTTGTAGTTTTTCACACGGTCACCTTCGTTATCGTGTCTAACTACGTAATCTTTGCAATTATGATAAATGTTGGTACACAGACTATACCCTCATTATTATTAAGTAGCATTTATGAAGAGTATTTGACACCGGTTATTTCACAAAAATTGACGATGTAGATTTACTGGTATTGAACGTAGACTTAAACGTCCCAGTGTGCACATTGTACTAAGCCTCTTCAAACTTAAAACGAGTAACACACTGCTGGAAATTATCTTCACATCCTCCATCAGCATGGTATCAACAAGTCTTATATAGTAGTGGATCAGTACACAAAGTCATACGATTGTGGCAATGAAAGTGTTACTCATTTTTCAGTAACAGTTGCTTAAAACTAACCAGTAGTTTCGCTGAGTCTTATTCTTAGGTAGTTAATTCTCATACAGTATTTGAAATAATCATCATCAGTTTTCTGTTTATTTGCCTGAGTAAAGTAATACTACTATTTATTGCAAACTACCACCACACACAAAAACAGTGAAAATCAAAAGGCACTGGAATTCCATTTCGCTGCACTCTGGGATTGTTAAGCAGTGCACATCTTAATTCCTGACAACAAACCTCTCAGAAGACACGTTAAAGTCCAGAAACTTGGAGAGAATTGACAAATCTGTTTTGCAAACTTTTATGACTAAGTAGTATGACTGGTGATTATGACACCAATGGATTAAACCGATATTCTGACATACTGGCTTTATTTCTAGACTGGATGAATCTGAAGTTGTTTTTATTGGTGACTTACCTGGATGAAATTGGTATGTTGAAATCAGTTAAATAAACTTCATGCTCTGTTTATATATTTTCTCACTACTGAAAAACCAAACTGTCAGTTAGATTAGAAGTGCACTTTCCGCCTTTACATTCCAACGAATAACAACCATATTGGCTTTCTTTTTGAGTTAACTGCCAGAACAATGAGCACTAGAATGCTCTAAGTGATGACTGCAGTCATTCAACCACTTCCATGCAGACTTGTCGGCTGACTTTCCTTGTCTAAAAGATTCTAGTTATCAAGTGTCGAGAAAAAACGTAAATATACAGGATGCAGATTAAATAATCCATAATTTTTCTCTCTGTTAAGCCTGACTAACTGCTGAATAAATGAAAAATGCCAGTCTTGTTTCACACTTCTATTGCTCTGTTTTTTAGGCTTATTAACAAACTGAAACCAGGAAGTGTCAAGAAAATTAATGAAAACTCTACAATGCCATTTAAAATTATGGAGAACATCAATGCCTTTCAAGAAGCAATTAAAGCTTATGGTGTGCCTACTTCTGATGTCTTTCAAACAGTCGATTTATTTGAAAAGAAGGACATTGCTCAAGTTACACAGTGCATCTATGCTCTTGGAAGAACTGTGAGTCAAGATCTTTTCTGTTTTATATTTGTCAGAATTTACCAAATGGAGAACTGTCTTATTATGACAAGAAACAGATTTTTTTTGGAATAGTATTAAATTTTCTAAATTATTCGTTTACTTGTAAGCTGAGTAAAACACACTAATAAAATTGTCCTGGTTGAGTTTACCAAAACTGCTACAGTTGTAGTGAAATATATCAGCAGAATGACTAGATAAGTAGAAGAAATATGAGGAAAAAATCTTGAATCGGTTAGCTGAGTCGATGTATTATGGGAAAATTGTGTCAAACAAGGATTTAGGTTATTTATCACTTCTAACAATAGCTGTATCGGCATTGTGGTATCAGTGGAGGGTGTCAGCTTCTTCGAAGTTATAAGTACAGTTTACTGATAAGTGTTAGCGAATTCCTGTTTCAGAATTCGTCTGTGATTCTCTGAAAACTTTCTGCATGATGACAGTATGCAATTACATGTCATCTTCAGTAGAATCTACAGATTAGCATAATTCACATAATCATTGCTTATATTTCAATACAGACTTAATCGCAAACTGAAAAAAAGTCGACGAATCCTCAAATGCCAGGGAGAACTTGATAGCTGTTTAGTGAAGAAGGATTCATACTGAAGTTAATCAAATCTCTGAAATTCAGATACGTGGAAAATATTAGGACTTAGTTTTATATAGTCCTAAAATGCCACTAGTATACGTTGTCCCGTGTACAACACGTAAAACAGTGATATAATTTGCATATAAGATAGCATATTGTGAACACCACTTCTCATAATCATATCATGGTCTTGTAACCACTTTCAGACTTACCTTTTTAGCGTATCATTCTTACATTTTGATTGGTACCAAAAGCATTTTTACATAGCCAAAAATACTATCGAATCATTTTGTTGTTTGTGCCACTTGGTAATTCATTGAATGTAGGCTTACAAATTAATCTTTGAGCTAATTTTGAATCTTAGAGCTGTGATCATGGTCTAGTAAGTAGACCTAAGTAGCTAAATTTTCCTTTTGACGGGAAACGGTTAGTGCAAACTCAGTTTTTGCAGTGATTTCTCATTATGCCTTACAGTTAATCCCGAAAAATTGTTAAACATAGGCATTTGCAATTAAATGTGTACACTTCTGAAGATTTGCACAACCTTTTCATTGAGTTATGTATGTACTTTTATTATTTTATAAAAGCTGTGACTTCTTCAGCCAACAAGAATCTGTGAGACAAAATAACATCACTCAGAATGCAGCCTATTTTGCTTTGTTGAAATTTTTCTAGGGAACCATTTGCATACAAACAAAGCGACAGAATTACACTCCTGGTTAAATATTACATAGAAACTTTAGTAAAAGTTGTCTTCAAAATTTCATTTCTTTTCTAATATTTCTGAATTTGTTTAGTGTCAAACACATCCAGAATATAATGGTCCTTGTTTAGGTCCAAAGTTAGCTCAAGAGAATAAACGAGAATTCACTGAGGAACAGTTAAGAGAAGGAGCAAATGTGATTAGTCTGCAGTATGGAACAAACAAGGGAGCTTCTCAAGCCGGCATGACTATGGGCAAGCAAAGAATGATTCTGGATTAAGTTATTATTCTGTTGCTAAAAAAAAAATCAAATCTGTTTTTTTATTTTTAAAGAAATATAACATATCTACGGTTTTATTTGTGCTAAAAGTAAATTTTATTTTCCAACGCATTTCACTAAAATATTATAAATGTCATTTCACATAGAAGTGTACGACTAAATCATCTGTTTCCTTTTCCCTTCACTTCGAAGTATATGTTAATTCTTCCCCAAGGCATTTTTGCGTTCATTATCACGCTTCTGCTTCAAACAATTACCTTCATGAAGCATGCATACATACCATAAACTTTAGACAACGATTCAGATGAATAATGTTATCTCTGCTTAACATTGTTATTAGTGTGTTGTAACTTCTTTTTAACGCTTGATAATGAATAATAATAATAATGTCCTCTAAACTTTGTTTCTTATTAGTGTGTTATTCTGGTCATTAAGTATCAGTTCTACTGAAGCACTTCTCATTTACAAATCTGAAACTCACGAGAAATGATATCACTGGAAATAAGTTTACAACAGTACTATGCTAACAGGGGATAACTTCTAGAGGTGCTACTCTCCACTACAAATGTTCATAAAAGATAAAGAAAATATTATGAAAAATTACACTTCATACGAATAGAAAAAAGGATTATTCATAGAAAGGTTTATCTGTGATTTCAACAGAATTCATAGATCTTCAAAAATCTATTTACATTGAAACTTAACATCTTATTATACATTTACTTGGAAGGAAGCTTGTTGAGGTATTTTTGAACTCATACGTATCATTACACTAACCTTCAGTATATATATATATATATATATATATATATATATACTAAAAAGGTGTTTTATGGTATAGTTCATTATTCAATGGCCATTATGTGTGCGTGTAAATTACTTGCTAAGACAGCCAAAAATGAAGAAAATAAAAGTTCTCTGTTGTCTGTTCATTCATTTTTGATAGTGAGCGCTTTAACACCAAACTATATAATTTCTTCAGTGCCTATTCGAATGAAAACCAGTTAATATTAACTATGCTACAAAAGTTTAACAAACTACTGCCTTAAATTACTTCCATTCCTATTTTACCTGTAGAATCTATGATCGGCTGCATTATATTAGTTGTAGATATTGTATGCAGTATTCCAAAGTGATGAGATAGTAAGCTCTTCATATTAAGGAGCCTAGTAGACCAAATTCACTATTTGAAATATTTTGGTTCAAATAATGACAGTCCTACAGCAGTCTTTCATAGAGCCAAAGTATTCTACGAGCAGGTATATTTTATTGATAAACACAAAAGAAGCAAACGAATTGAAATGACTTAAAGTATTTCAGAATGTCAGAACTATTTCATCTACCACTGAGTAATTTGCATAGGATTTTATCAGACTATAGCCCCCTCCGTCGGATAATATTGAAATGCATACTGGTTAGTGTCTTTAACTAATATACTCAGTGAAGTGTTGATGTAATTCAAAAGTGAAAATAAGAGAAAGTATGAAATGTGACATTTCAAGCATATGATTGTGAAAAATTTAATATTACATCGTAATTTTCAAATTCTGATAATATTAGCTCACGTTAGCCCATTCATTAAACACCACTAAATAGAGAAAACAGTATTGAAAAGATTTATAAAGACAGTTTTGATTTTATCATCTGATCTTTACACAGAAGTTCGATGATATTGAAAATAATTAGGAGGAAACTGTGACTTGAAGTCTGGTCCATAGTGCAACAGAGCAACGCCAGGACCTCTTTGTGGGCATGATTGCTGGTGAACAAAGCATCTCCGAAATCGTTCATTCTTTTTAAACTCTACGGTGACCACTGGTTTAGAATCACGAGTTTTGAACTTTTCATGGATAATCCCCATCCAGGCATTAATGAAAACAAAACACGTAGATCAGCGAAGAGTCTCTTTTCGGCGAATTCATCTTCTTAGCTGTACAATCGCAAATGTATATGTGTTATTTTGTATGTATGTGTACATTAAGTTTGTCAAACAAAAATGCAATTGGTTATAGTTATTTTAACTAAACAGGCGAAGATTGGTAATTGCAGTTACGTAATACAAAATTAGTCAAGAAAATTAGATGTCAATGAAATTAGGGTAGTAACAAAGGTGATGAGTTGTCACAAACAGTTGTTAAAAGAAGTTATGCAATAATAATATGAATATTTTGATGAGTGAATTTTACTCAGGATGCTCATAGAAACAAAGTAGACAATACGAAACTATGTAAGAGATCTAAGTGAATACAAGAATTATAAGCAACTAAGGAACAGGCAAAGAAACAAAATTAAGTTATCAAAATAAAATAAAAAAATCAAAAAAATCAAAACATTGTTACCATGAGAGTAGAAGTGGTTGAGTAATCTTCTTTTGTATGCACAGCTCCGGTTTTTCCATGTGAATGGCTAGAGTTTCAGCGATACAAAGGAGACGAAACCGTATTGCCTTTGACATGTTGTTCTTGACTCGGTAGATTACTTTGAAGGAGACGTTCGTTGAAATGCAATGATCAGTGCTGACCAGGTGTTCAATTATCGCACTCCTTATTGCACCAGTATTGCCTTTTCGCAACCATGTTGGATAGTGTTCTTGAATCCTCTTGGACAGGATGCGCGTCGAACGACCGATGTACCTGGCTGCACAGCAGCAGGTGAACTGGTATATGCACATAGAAGTGGCCAGATGCGGGATCTTGTCCTTGAGGCTTCTGCAGATTAGTGGGCGACTGGAGAACACTATTCTTAGCGTTGCTGCAAAGAATGTTCTTCTCAGAGATGATGTGATCCTTCTCTTGAAAATATCGCTTGCTAAATCTCCCTTGAAATCCAAGTTCATGTAGATTTTCTTTTTAGGCGCAGTCAAAGTTTCGTTTTTCCGAATTATTGGTTTCAATTCAACAACTCATCACCTTTGTTACTATCCTAGCACTTAATTGTCTTAGTTAAAATAACCTTAAGCAATTGTAATTCTTGTATCCACTTAGATCTCTCACATAATTTCTACTTTGTTTCTATGTGCATCCTGAGTAAAACTCACTATAATTATTACAACTGTTTGTAACAACTCATCACCTTTGTTACTACCCTAGTTTCACTAACACTTAATTTTCTTGACCTGTATTATCAACCTTCACTTGTTTAGTTAAAATTAACCTTAACCAGTTGTAACTTTGTTTGACAAACTTAATGTACACATACATACAAAACAATGCATATATATTTGCGATTGTACAGCTAAGAAGATGAATTCGCCGAAAAGAGACTCTTCGCTGATCTACGTGTTTTGAACTTTTCTCAGTTAACAGGAAATAAAGTCAATAATGTAGAGTTCGGGATTTGACAAGGGGAAAAATGTTGCCATATGTAAAGTAAGGTGGCTGAGTGTCTAATTGGCAAATGAGACAGAAGAACAAAATGCGTCATGAATGTAGATTAGTTGTTTTTTTTTTTTTTGCTTCCACAGTGTCATTTTTAGAATTGCACAAATATACAACAGCTTACTACTGATCAATTTTCAGAAGTGGTAGTTTTTTAGAATATACTGAAGAGTTGAGTTCTGAGGGAAAATTACTTGTTCAAACACATATTTTCTATCACATCTCTCTGTGTTATACCCCTGAACGCAGAAAAATGCAAATATGTGCTGATTAGTATCAGAGATGACGTAACGATATATCCGGCAGTTTTATCTGATATGATGGCTACTCTGACTGGTTGCTTCAAGATAATTTCGTCGTTCTTTATCATGCTTGCTTGAACAACCTCTGAGATTGGATCTATGGTTGTATTTATGGTTTGGAAATCAATCGAAACCAAACAAATCAGTTTAGGGGAAATAGATTTAAACAAACACTCGCTAATAAATGAATTAACAAGATAAGAAAAGTGTTAACAGAACAGTCTAAAAGTGAGCGGAATAGGCAATCAAAATGGCTAGAAAAAAAGTTATCTAAGAGAAAGTTAGTTACAAGGAATAATAACCCCAAATTAAGGAGGGATATCGGCCAGCTGTAGATATGATGTCAGTAGGGTGTATTGTGTACCCTACTTAACTCTAACCAAACTTTTCTATAGTTAATTTATTTACTGAAATTCGCACATCTGTTGAATATTTACTGTTCTAATCGTCTTTGACTCGGTAAGCATTTATTTTAATTGCCTTGTTATCTGACGTCTGTTTGATCGCACACTTTTAAATTCTACGCGTGATACTAAACGAAAGCATCAATGATCCTAATCTACTACTGAATTTATTCACATCAACCATCACCATACTGTTACTGCTGACATGCGAAAACAAGAAGAGAAAACAAACGGTTGAGAGCGCGCTACAGAGAGAGTTTATACTATCTCAACAACAGTCAATGTAGTTCATAGCAGCCCTAAGTGTATGTGTTCTAAACGAACTTAAGCAACACCGAATTCTCTGAAAAGTTTAAAGAGTTAACAACCTATGAGAGTCCAGTCTTCAAAAGCAGTGGGAAACACAAAAGGCTTGAAATGGCATCCAGAAGACTCGAAAATAGTAGTTTAAACTAATGACAAAGATTTTTTTTAAGTTTATGGGAAACATTTACCAGTACATATCATGAATTATAGACAAAAACAGAGGCGTATTACAGGCTTATATTAGTTAGTGACAGGTTACTACATAAATGTATATTGGTATATACGGGTTGATATAAGTATTTGGAAAGCATTCACATCAGCTGGTAGTTACCACATATTAGTTAGTTAATAAGACAGTGATAACTAAGGTTTCGTTATTACGTAACATTTAGCCAGCCTGACTAGATTCACTGTGCTCTAGTACCTGTTTAATAATTCACTTACTTGACCTAAAAGTACCGGTAACGAAACATATCTCAATTTTAAAGTTGATGACATTGCAGGAATAGTCAAAAGTACAGTCTTCTGTTAGCCGAAATCAGGTTATCTTTTTACGAACATTACAAATTTTCTTATATACAAATATATATGTATATATATATATATATATATATATATATAATTTAATAGGTTGTATGCAGCTGACGGGAAAGCGATAAAATAATGACATATAATCGTATTATTCTCCAGCAGTTATTTTTAACTTTTAGAAATCAACAAACCTTGTTGTCTCGGAATGTGTTTAAAAGAGTAATTTATCTAAATAAAATGAAGGTTACGGTGAATATTCGGTACAAAGTTGTTTCCACTTATCCGGTTAGTACAACTATCAGTGTCAATCCGTGAACTAATTGGATATCAATAGAAATCTACAAACCAACACTAAAAAGTTAAACTAAACGTCTCTAGTGACTGGCTACATGTTGAAGTCTCCTGTATTTCTAGTAAGAATTTGTGACAATTGGCGTTTACCAGGTCGGGTATTATGAGAAAAGCCCAGCGATGACACTGGCTGTAGACTACGCTATAAATCGCGAACTTACACAAATCAGAGTTCATAGACCAATGAATTTCGTTCCAGTGGCTGAATGGTCAACGGGCTCGCCTTGTAAGATGACTGTCCTACCTTCGCTTCTAAGTGAGGTTATGGGAGCGTACTGATGAGGAGTCTCAAACTAATACTCCTTGACTTATAAAGGCTTTCCAATTGATGTCAGTCTGTGATCCAACTTGGTAAAGATGACCGCAATAACCAGCATATAGGAAGTGTGAAACGGCTCAGAAACTTGCTTAGATTCATCCATTTTGGTCAGCTAATACTCAGTCGATACAGTTTAGTTTAACTTAAATTTAAGTGTTATATAAACGTTAATCGGAAATCTACACGTTGCTTATGAAATGTGACCAAATGGAAGAAATCTTAAACGTCACAAAACCAATCAGACTGATTGCCTTATGGAATGCATATATATATATATTTATATAACGCAACAGTCAAAGAGGCAGAAATATCTGTAAAATCAAATAAATGGATACATAGTGGGAGAAACAACTGAAGTAAATGAGTGTTCAAAGCATGCTGAAGTTGACGAGACTATTGATTATTTTCTTAACTAAGTCCAACTTATTAGATATTATTTCTTTGTTCTAACCTTGCCTAGTTAATTAGATGCTGGTTTTCTAGCCGGTCTAAAGCTGGGGTAAAGGGGGAGAGTTGGGCGTAGGGCTAGCAACCATAAAACACTAAAGCTATAAAACCACAAGAGAAACCTCAACACACAGAAAGTATTTTCTCTAGTTTGGTTTGTAAGGGTGAGTTATGTTTTTACGAGTTAATCACGGATTGATATCAGTTAGAGAACTGTTTAAAACCAGGGAGTACTGGACAGCCGGTGTTTCATCCTAGTTTGGGAATCATCGGCAGTACGCACCCACTGGGATTGGAACCCAGGACATTCCGGTTACAAAGCAAGCTCGTATACCATTCAGCCACTGGGACCCGATTCAGTGGCTCATGAATTCTAACTTCTACCGATGATTCCCAAACTAGGATGAAACACCAGCTGTCCAATACTCCCTGGTATTCAATGGTTCTCTAACTGATATCAATCCGTAATTAACTCGTAAAAACATAAATAGTATAAAAAATATATGACATTCAAAGAACGATCTCAATCTTTGCTGAACTCAAGAAGGCAAAATGACGAGATATGGTGAAATCAAGCCTTGGGGAGGCCAGTCAGCCAGTCAATGTGTTTTCTCTCAATGAAAGCAAGAAGAAGAACGGGGACGTGGTATGTCTGTACAACGTAAGAGACTGGCTGGGAAGGCTGCCCAACTAGCCAACGAAATGCGAAGTTATGGCCTGGAAGTGCTGAGTATCTGCGAGACCAGATGGAATAGATGTGGATTATCCAAACTGTCAACTGGAGAGTCAGTAATCTACTCCGCTCTGGCCACACAGACGACATCCACGAACACACTGAGGCAGTGAGTGGCTGTCATGCTGTCGACAGTGGAAGCCAAAGCCCTAATGCAGTTGAACCACTCACCTCGTGCAGGATCATGACAGGAAGACACAACTCAAGAGGAAGGAAGGAAGGTTACAATTATCATGCAATGCTACACACAGTGCTACAAACAACGTGGAACCATACGAGAAGGAAGAGTTTCACAGACAGCAACATACAGTAATGGACAACACCACAGATGATGACATCAAAATCCTCATGAGCGATATGAATGCCAGGTAAACTGGGAGCAGACAATCCAGCAGGAGAACTCATCATGTGTCGAGAGAATATCACTCGGTGAAACAAATGAGAACGGAGAACTAGTCACAGACTTCTGCGCTTTCAATGATTTGGTGATCGGGGGCGTGTGTGTGTACAAGCACAAGGATAGACACGAGATCAGCGATATGGATTTCGCCTCACGGACACATCACAAACCAGACAGATTTCATCTCAATGCTGCTCAGGGAAGCGGAGACACAGCCTTCCGGATGTGAAATCTGGAAGGGGAGCAGATGTGGGCTCAGGTGATCATCTAGTGCAAGCAACCTTCAAGGTGAAGGTGAAATCCCTGAAAACAACTGGAGACAGGTCACTGTAATTCAAGTTTAATATTCAGGACCTGAAAGACAGAACTGAAAGGGGTGCCTTCACTGCAGATCGGATCAGATGAGAGCAAAGTAGGAGACACTACGTGGCATCACTGAGGAAGCCTGTGTATGTGGAAGAACATTGGAACTCACTGAAAGCTATGTTAAAGGATATGTGTACCACTGTTCTGGGAAGAAAGAAAAGACAAGACAAGGAATGGCTCTCAACAGATACCTACCTGAAAGGCCAATAGAAGAGAAATGAGGAGGATGGTGAAAGAGAAGATGACTCAACGCAAGGATGGACAACAGGAGAAGGAGAAGCTGAGTTCAGTGTACACCGCACTGAATACAGGAGAGAAGAGAAGAAGAGTGCTAGGAAAGACAAAAGACAATTCTACGACACACTGGCTGTCGACTGAGGCAGAACAGGAGGGCCTCAAGTAGAAGAGACCTCGGAACGTTATACCAGATAACCGTGTCTCTATCTGGGAAGAGATCAACCCTGATGATGAAACCAATAAGAGATGTTCAACGGAACACTGATTACGAAAGATGAGAAATCGATAAAACAATGGGCTGATCACTTTAAAGAAATCTTGAATCGACCATCATCTTCGGCTCGCCCAGAAATAGCACCAACAACACAGACGTAACTGACAGTGGACACCACTCCTCCAACGAAAGCAGAAATCTTGAACGCGATCAAGCTACCGAGGTCCGGATAGGCAGCACTGATATTGGACCCAGAGGCTGTCTCAGATGTACTCACGCCGTTACTGCAAAACGTTTGGAAAGAAGGGAAGCTACCTACTGACTGGAAGAAAGGCTAGCTACCTCGTCAATCTGCCAAAGAAGGGCGACTTACGTCTCAGCAGGAACTGGCGTGGAATAATGCAGTTGTCCACCACAAGCAAAAATCTAAGTCGCATCATCTCGAGAGAATAAATGATTCACCGGATGAGGAAGTCCCTCAGCCCGGAACCAGCTGGAATCAGGAAAGGCGAATCATGTGCTCATGGAATTGCAACTCCACACATAGTCATCACAGAATAAAGCATAGAATAGCAGTCAAACCTCTTCCCATCTCGAATTCATTGACTTCGATAAGACCTTCGACAGACAGCGTTTACCGAGAAGTAATTTGGACACTACTTCTACACTACGGCAGGCAGTTCCCAAATCCTTATCAACCTCATTCAACAGGTGGCTATATGACAATCCCACGTGTCAGGTGATCCACAACGGGAAACTCAGAGAGGCGTTCGAAGTGAGTTCAGTATTGAAACAAGGCTTCCTATAATCAACAATGATATTCTTTATTGTGGCGGACTGGATGATGCTTCAGACTGTGCACGGGGAGTGATAAGACAGGATTAGACTGGACCACCGATAAAAAGTCTCTAGAAGATGCGGATTTCGCGTGTGGATGATATACGTCTAATGTTGCACAAACTCGAAGACTCTCAGGTGAAGACCAACAAACTGGTAGCAGAGGCAATCAGAAAACAGGACTACAGATGAACATTGATAAGATGGAGGTGATGAAGATAAACACGCACCAACAGCAACAGCCACAGCACCAACCGCTATCAAATGGAGAAATTTGACAGAGGTTACTTCTTTTACTCATCTAGGAAGCATTGTTTCAACCACAGCCAGGGGAACGGATGAAGATGTGAAAGCCAGCCAGCCAGATTCAGAAAGGTAAGATACGCCTTCATCAATCTGAAATTGGTTTGGGAATCTTCTGCACTCCTCAGCATAAACCATAAGATTCGGATTTTCAACACAAATGTCAAGTCAGTCAGTTCTTCTCTACGGATCAAAAACTTGCCTTGCGTGTAACGAAAAGGACTTCCAACCGGCTACGGCAAACTTTCATCATCAGCTGCCATTGCTAGCTGCGTGCTGAAGATCAAATGGCTGGCCAAAATAATTAGCGACAAGAAACTCTGGCAACAGACCAACCAGGAGCTGGTATAGTTCAGGCATACATCGAGGAGACCATCGAATGATGTCGCACGCAATGTAGGCCATCGCTCGAGTGGAATCCAAATGGGAAGCGACGAGTCGGTCGTCGGTCCGATGGTGATGTGTAGGAGATCGTGTGAGTTGAATGAAGAAGTGAGAGATTATTGTCAATCGTGGAAGCAGCTGAAGAAGGCAGCGGAAGATAGGAAAAACTGGAGATGTGGTTTTGAAGCCCTATGTTCCACTCGGAACCCAAGGGAATAATTAAGATTAATAACAGTAGAAGATACCTTAAGCCTTTCATCATGTATCTCGAGAAAAGTTTTTATATGTTTACTTTGACTACTTTCATCTTGTGAACTGGACTCTGATGGCGCGACCCTGTTCTTTTGCAAAGACTGGGGTGTCTTCTGTAGCACACCACTCAACAACAGCTTAAAAGCTGCAACTGCAGGCTTCTTCACTGCGCTAGCATCTCCACCATCGCAAGTATCTGAGTTGGAACTCGATGATACTGAATTTCCAACCACCCTACCCCCAATGAATTATCCGACACTGTTTGCTAAATTGCATAAGGCGTCATTCAAGGGCAAACCATCGTGCCTTACAGAGCGGTCGACACTATACGTAGTTTACCAGTCTATTTTTCGTTTGGGAACTAGTTGGTCAGATAGATGCCACCTTCCTGGTTTGCCTTGGTTAATTGCTACCTCTACATGTCCTCTCGCTGTATGATTATCAATGGTTATCATTAGACTTAGAAAAAAATTTCCCTGTCAAACTCACAAGTCGCTTCAAGGAAACATCGCGGTTACAAATCAATCTGTCATCCTTATATTTCCATGGTTGGTGTGTAGTGAAATGAAGATTCTCGGACACACTCGACCAACTTGACCGCCTTCTCGTCCTCAGCAGAAAGTGAAGTTTCTGGACTACTGTCACCATCAAACTCCCTATTATACATTGCACGAATCATAATGTGATGAATCGTGTCCGCATCATCATTTTTGACAAGACATGATACATGACCTCTCACTGTCCAACCAAGTGGCGTCTTCGTCGATCTCACTTTCAGATGTCACGATTTCATCGAGATTTATATGAAAAGTAGTATATGCATTTTGTATCTGTATACTGGTTGGAGTAGCTAAGGATGCCAAACAAAATGACACTCGTTCAGAGGACAAGGCATTAGAAATTATTGAGGTCCTTTGATATCTAAGCGGTTGGCTAACTGAGAGTCAATCAAAGTGACATAAGATCCATTATCTAACGATGCATACACATCAACAGACGATCACACTCTAACTGGTAACACACCTTAATATACTTTTCGTACATTATTTGCCTCACAGATAATATTAGCTGAAGCAACACGATTCTTATCCTTTCTCAGCAATGGTTGCAATCTTACTGAATCACCAGGGTCATTCATATTCTTTCTTGTACGACCCGATTTCATATGTCCTTCCTTCAGACAAGCAAAACATAGTTGTTTCTGTTGTTGTTTCGAGTTGGACTGATTCCAAAGGGGGCATTTTAAGAAGATCAGCACATTCATGTAGTGGATGTGACTTACCACAAGTAATACATCTTTCTGGTTGACACTGCCATGCAAGCCTTTCTCACAGATGATTTCCCTTTACTCGCGAATCTGTCAGCTTCAGTATTGAGGTGTAAGATGTTTGCGAATTTACTGATTGTTCGGCCTACACTATCTTCCAAGAGCATGAAGATATCACAAAATTTAGGCTCAATATCCTTTTCCTCTAAGCGGCCACTGATCTTAACCACTTTCTATA